AAAAAAAAGAAAAAAAAAATTATTATCGTCTAAATAAATACATTAAATGTTGTTTCATAGCATTAATGTCCCACCAGCCTCATATAAATCATACTTACAACATATTAAGAAATATCATCAAAAAAAATTTGAAACAAAATAAGAAAAATACTTTTAGCTACTATTTATTCTCTACATGGGGTTCCAGATCAAATCTAAGGTTTCTTTTTTAACCAACTTATCAAAATATGCATAAAATATATATTATTAATATATATTATTGTGCGAGTTGGTTTTTCAAAGTAACCGTACAGTAAAAGAAAGAAATATATTCTCCAAACAAAACAGTCATTACCTACAATAAAACACTCAAAACTTTCAATTCATTCCAGACAATGGATCGAAAAAAAAAATAAAAAAATCTCACGTGAGCGTGCTTCATCATCTAGAATGTGTTGTGGGGGGATATTTAGATTGAGCTTTATTATCCCCGGGAAAGAAGTTTCTAGACTTTCCCTGTTCTACACTTGGGACCTCTTATGAAGTATGACTAAATCCATAGTTGTCCGAGGACTGTTGTCCTTTGGGCTCATCTACAAACTGACAGTTACGTTGTTCAAGGTTAAGGACAGGCTGGCGAGCTTTGTCCAAGTTCTGGAGCTCGCTTGCGATTTGTGTACGACGTTCCTTTAAGAAGTTAAGTCTGTTTGTCAGCTTTGACAGAGCAGAAGTTGTGGAATTGTTTCCCTATCATTCAAAATATGAAAAAACAAGCATGAATTTGTTGTCTTTTGGGCATATTTGTTTTACACATGACAACATAGTATAGTATAATGTTGTAAAGGTTTGCAATTATTCCCCTACCTGAAATTCAAATACAAGTAACAAATGCAAGTGATGTGAAATCAATCACGCACGCTTAACTTTTGGTTAAGGGAAATTTACCTCAGTCTTTGTGCTGGATTTTCTAGACACGCTATGAGCATGACCTGTCCTACTTGTGCTCATCTCGACATTTGATGTCATATATCCTGCAGCGTTTGGATTCTGCGTACCATCCCCTACCTGCTTCATTAACGAATCGAACTCAGTTGTCCATCTTCAGTTTAATTAAAAATCTAACATATTATCCTGCAATTCTCTTATTGTGCACTTCCATATCACTAAAAATGGATATACTATACCTTATTACTATTAGAAAAACTTTCACAAGTTCTTGAGACAGCTACGAGTTCACCATCTGTCTTTTTATCCTTCCTGCACCCATAGTGAAAACAAGCTCACATCCTCAATAAATAATAAGTAATCAATATAAATCAGAAGGAATAGGTAAATATGTACAACTTTAGCGTCGTACAATATATCAAAAAGAACGGGGCTGCAGCGTGCTGGGTGCCCAATGCAATAGAGCAAAAGTTGCATTTTTTTCATAATATATTTGTTATGCAGATTCAGGCATTGAAATCTAGGATGCAATAATGGAGAAATTAAAAATAAAATGGAGAACAAGTTTGCAAGTCCAAATTGAGAACAAAAACCCAGATTGTTGGAAGATAAAAATGTCAAGTAAAAGAAAAAAAAATAATATGTACTTCAGCAAGAAACATATATCCTTACATCTTAGAAGTTTGTTCTCGCTGTTGATCAAGTCGAAATTCAAGGTCATCGACATTTTTTCTTAAATTCGCGACATCCGCCTCTGCCCGAGAAATTTCATCAAGCTCCGCCCTCATCTGCAGTCAATTTTAAATATGAACCTAATAGATTAAAGTAGTTGAGATATGGTGATGGGCCAACTCTAACCTTCTCGTCAACAAGTGGTGAAATAGAGAAAGGAATTTCTGACTTATTCAATGCAACTTCAAGTATTGCCTTCAACTCCACCTCATTCTCTAACTGCTCTTGCAAACTTGCCACCTAAGGTACAATTTTTCAAGTTAGTGATTTCTATAAAAGATAAAGTGTAATGGTAAATGTAGAAATGATTAAGACATTATTACAACATAAAAATGGGGGAAAAAAAGGCAAGTCGTGATCATTTTACCCATTCCTAACAATACGGAATATAAAGTAGTTTAGTGTCTCCACATGAATTAGTTTTGCTTTAACAAACGTCTATAGTGTTGCTTCATCCTCTACAGCATCATTATTACATTAGAGAAAAGTGGAAAAGTCATATTAATATCCTTACTTCTTTCTCAAGAGCTACGCGATGTTCATGCAAATCATGCTTCTGCTTCTGTAGACTATTTAGTAGACGCGAATTCTCCATTGCCTATTATTGAACAAAGTCAAGAGGTTGTATAAGTGAAATTAATGCATAGAGAAAGAGAGTGAGTAAAGTTCTTACCTCAATTGAAATTCTGGTTTGTAAATCTACTTTGATACACTCAAGCTTTTGGATTTCAGTCCTAATGAGACAAAATTCATATTAGTACCCATATGGGAAAAAAAGTTCTATATAACAAGGACAATTTACCAGGTTTGTATTGTGGAAACAAAACATTCTAATTGCTGCTAATATTATCTAAAATTACAAGCTTATTCAATTTCAGTACAATCCTAGAAAACACAACAACGTATGTTAAAGTTGCAAATGTCCACGATTTCACATCATTCAAATGATTATCACACTTCAAAATTTGAATCTAAACAAAACCTTGCCTTTTCAGATCCATTCGCGTAAAGAGAGGCGAGTCTATTCGACACTCAAACTTACCAAGATTTTTTCTTTACATCGTATATCTCCAAATTTTCACCAACTATTTTCTCACTTATAGCTCAAATGTTTATATATACTAAAGCCTCATTTCTCTCAGAAACAAGAAATATAATATAGAAGATAATCCAAAAATTCTGCATCTGTTCACGTTTTCAAATGTGAGCTTCATAAGTCACCAAAATCTCCACCTTTAATTTAATTAGTAATAAGATATGCACATTTGAAGGAACCAAAAATGGAACTGCTTATGATTGAACAAGAGAGGATAGTTCTTTTATGTATAATGATTCACCATCATAACATGTAAGATTTGTAGACTCTGATAATCGATTATAATTTGCATCATGATTCTTATTAGAAACAAAAGAAAGTTCTACACAACCTGGAGTACAACTTTCAAGTAGGAAATTTATTTTATATCAACTGAAACATTAATTGAGTTATTTGATCTGAGTAATGGGATAAACTGTAAATACATCAATAGAAAGATATCCAACATAAAGACAAAGATTATCACTTACTCATCATCAGAAGGGAGTTCAATGGATTCCATGGAAAGGTTCTTCTTTGCCTGGACTCAAAACATATTAAGTGAGTCTCGCAAAAGTATCTCAAAAATGTAAATATGGTACATACAATAAGTTATTTGATGAAAGATAATTAAAATATTGACTAACTTCCAAGGGAAAAGTGTAGAGGCAACAAGATGAATTGGAAAAAAAAAATATTATTCTTACTGGAGTACGTCCCCAAACAGCAGGTCGTCTAACACTGCGAACACCACATGATAAATTAGGAGGCCTTTGCATAACCGATGCTTCTTCAGAATGTTTGTCCTCTTGCTCAAGGGGACTCGACTGCATCTTTGAATCAGAAACATTTTTTTCAGCTACCTTGGGGATATCATGTTTATCCAATGGCGCATGATAAGGGTTAGGCAACCATATCTTGCTGGCATCAATGGCATTATCGTCTACTCGAGGTGACTTGGACCCCGAACTTCCAGGGGACTGAAGTTTTATAAGGAAAAAAAAAAGAATCAAAAGATGTATTACAAATTTACAATAACTTTTAAGTTTGCTGAGTAGTAATAACACTACTATTTTTATTGGTTGATGATATTGCATTCTAGGAAAAAAATTAATCTACTTTTAACATAATATATGATCATAATATGTGATGTGGTGATGTAAAATAAAAGAATTGTGACAACTTTTATCATGTCAAACTTTATACCATCCCCTATATATAAGATATTAAGATTTTTGTTATTCATAAATTCTATGGGCGTCATCAGCCATGCCACAATATGATGTGGTATATGGTGTGACTTTGATTAATTATTCCAATATCTAATACATGTTGGACTACAAATCAATAATATTAGGTTAAGCAATAATGATATACACTGATAAATGTCCCATGAGAAATTTGATGAATACAACCACACACGAAAATATCTTCACGACGGACGATTACTTGTATTTAAAAGGATATCATATTGTGGCATGGCTTATGAGCCACTGAATTTTTGTTATTTTGTTCCTCAAAATAATAAAAGTAGTGAAACTTGGTGGATGAAAAGAAGATCAATTTATATATTTGATAATATAGAAGGATAACTTTTAAAATATAATGGGTTTTCAATATAAGTTAGCACAATCACCAAAATGTTGACAAGTTCTGAAAGGCAATAGTTACGAAGAACAATTACTGACAAGAAATATTTTGTTTTAAATAAGAACCATGGAAAGTAAATACAAACCTTTTTACTGCATCTGTCATCACCAGTTTTAGTTGTACTAGGAGTTGATTGGTGGTCAGAATCTTGGTCCACATAAGAATTGGAGTCTTCAGTGGAATCATCTTCATCAAAGCTATCATCATCATCATCATTATCTTCTTCTTCTTCCTCATCATCATCTGTAATTTCCTCACTTTCACTCCCACTCTCTTCTGAATCAGTGTACGGTTCGTGGGTAACTGCATGATCCTGGAAACACCACATTTGAATGGTGCAACATTAGTGACATGATAAAAAAAATGTTTAACTAATTTTTTTAACATGAAAAAACAGGCGTAAAAGTTCACAAGATACCTTTAAAGTGAAAAAAACAAAAAGCAAAATGAAAAAAAAGATTCGTTTATAATTGTTGAAATGTAAGTAAAAAAAAAAAGTGATTACCCCGAAGATATTGTCGTATTCTTCAAGCAAAGTGATAACAATGGCCTGAGCGTGATTAGCTGCAGCTGCTGCTTGAAGAAGTTGAAGAGAGTTGTCACCTCCGACATCAAAATCCTGATCAAGATCACAATCACCAGCAAGAAGAGGGCGTAAGAGTAAGGGAGCCATGCAAGCTGCCACAGCTGATACACTCATTCTGTTCACCCCCTTATTTGAAGCCACTTTTTGCATCATCCTAAGAATTCTGAATCCCACAAACAAACAACTTTTTAATGTAATGTTAGTTAACAAAATCCAAATGCCATACACTACTTAATAATATTATGGGTACCTCTGCAATAAACAACGGTTTGGCTCTGGAAACGTTTCCAATATTGCTGAACGCACAACATTTATTCTCATGCTACGTTCACTTCCTAATCATCCCAAAAAACATAAATTTAACTATCTACATAAATATATATTCCAAATGCAACGACATTGTATTGTATTCTTATTCAAACTAAACAATGCTCATAATCCAAAATCTATACTTAACTCTATCATAGTTTTGTAACATATAACAATGTTGGTTTATGTTCCTTTTAGCAGATTAATACAATAAACTTAGAGGTGAAATATTGCTTTACATGTTAGGAGAATTATTAACTCGTAAGTATGTTGCATCATTACTAAAATTTGATTATTATTTTGATAATGAGTAATAGTTCATGAAAACATCCATGCATACTCTATAAATTTAAACGTGAACTTTTTGAGTACTCCAAGACATAAAATCCTACGTCATCAAAGAACGGAAAAGGAAAAATGAATCCAGTAAATATAAACTCACGACAAGCTTCAAGGAGAGCCTTGCAACAAGAAGCAGGAACTGGTGATGAAGGTAACTCGCGAAGTACATACTGCACATGATAATAGTAAAATAACAATCGGTAGAGAATACTGCAAAGTCATATGTTTCCACATAATTAGAAAAGTACCTTTATACAGTCAGCTATAACATGCGCATCTTCATTGGGGGATAACTCTGTTTTTCCTGAAATGATTTAATTGTATTAGTTAATTCTGAGGCCAATCCTTATGTGGATAGCCTGAAGTTTGATACACTAAATTGATGATTGTTATATGATTGAACATTGGTTATGATGAGACTTTTAATGCTGCCTATAGAAAGTATTTATACTAGAATTTGAACAGATACAAAAACTTCAGTGGAAAGTAGCTATTGACAGTGTTAACCATAAATCTAGAATAATTGAAGGAAATTCTTACGTTGTGTACTCAGTCCTTAAGTAACACAAACTTATCATGAAATCTATATACCAAAAAAAATTAGCGAACCTTTCTCATATTCTTGTATTCGACGTTCAACATCTTCAACATCAGCAGCTTGCCTCAAGATACCTTCTGTTTTGACTCCTAGAATAACACTTTACATATCAACACCATAAAAAAAAATTGTTCGTTTTTTTATATATTTGTGACAGCATAATGACAACTTATGAAGCACCTAGGTAGATGGATACTAGTTATACATTAACATGGAGGATGAATCCAATTCATATAACTGATGCAAAAATGAACATTGAAACATGAGAGGTAAAATCGACAACATATTAAGAATTCTTCGAATTCAAGCATGAAAAATTGTTGGTTCAGTACAAACTAAAAACTGAAACCAAAGTAGAGAAAAATGTGACATAAGTAATTTTATTTCCAGGCTATCAAAGAATGGAAGTTAAAGTGAACTTGAAAAGACATGGAAAAGTACTAGCAATTTTAAGGGAGATCACACACATGAATATAATAGACCATGTGACACCCTTTAAGTTCAGATAGAAACTCACCATGCTCTTCAAGAAATTGAAGAGCTTTTTCCAAAAAAGACGGAGTGCCATCAATATCTTCCAGGGCAAGTAAAATCGGTCTTCCAATTACCAATGATTTTGATGTTTGTTTGTCTTTCGCTGTAAACACAGACAAAGAAGCACAATGGTATAATCATGGTCTACTAGGAAAGGCTACTGAGTGAGGGCAACGTGATTGCAATAAACAATTAAACATAATTCATGTTTCAAAAGTTTTCAGTCTTTTTTGAAACTATTATGTCATGTCTAGAAAAGGGTCAAATAAACAATCATTTTGTTTATAAATAGTTACATTTGGAGGGTGGACCAGGTTTTGATGAAACAAATTATGAGTAAAAAGCTCATGTTTATATGGCAAAACTTCTTTATATTGATTAAGATATATTGCAATCGTTTCACTTTATTGGTTTACTTTGTAGTAGGAGCATTCTAGAAGTATTTGACGGAATAATTTATAAACTAAACACATTACACATAATGTAGCGGCTATGGAGAAGCGTACAATGTTCTGAAGATTGATCGGTTCCATTAGTCTGATCATTTCTGAATATACCATTTTGTCCCATGACAAGAGCAGCATTAGGAGCATTTGAAATGGCTTTCTCAAGTGCAGTCTTCCACTCATGCAAATCCTCCAGTGTTTCTGCCTGAACAAGAGTTGTTATATATCAATTTGGAATTATCTTTAGCATCGATACTCTCTGATTTACTATAGACAATGAATGAGCCACAAAATAGTAACTAAGCATGAGAATTGACGATTTAAAGATGAAGATAAAAATAATCTACATGTTTTCCCTGCAGATGATTATGAAAAATGATTGCACCTTGAGCGTGAAAGCTCGCCCATCACGGCCATCGGTGAAGAGCACGGTGATCAATTTCTTGTCTTCTTTAACTACCACACTACATATAAATCAAGAAAGTTAATATATAGCTGTAGGGAATGACAATTGAGACCAATATATTACAAATAAAAATAATTTAAGAAAGAAAAGACTAACCTGCCTGAGCTGTTCAGATCAATTCCTCCAAGGGTTAAATTGACTTCACTCAATTTCTGAGAGACCACATTCTGAGAGAAAAAAATTAACATGTAATTCATTTGAATACATTAATATTTTGCTACAAAATCTTACACCTAATAAAAGAATGCATTCAAAACGAATGTTTAAATTTAGGATGATTTTTAGATATTATATCAGCATGTCATCTTTTATGCCTGGTTAAGCAAGTGTAAATTAGAGATGGACTTTCATACTAATGAAGAAAAACTCTTTTCAATTTACTTTTCAACAAGCATGTTGAACACACACACACACACACACACAC